GTGTTGGTCGTAGTCCCGATGTAGTAGTCCTTGTCCTGGAAGGGCTCCGAGCGGTCGTCGTTGATGGGTCCACGTGCTGCGACATCGGATTTGAGGAAGTGGCACCGGTGCGGTGCCAGGGCTTGTGGCCTTCCCTGACGGTGCAGTGTCACCATCTTGTCTCCCTGACCCAACCGGCTCCTCGGCGCCGGCAAGAACTTGGGGTACTCCAGACCACGTGGCCCCTTCAGCTTGTTCTCGGTCTCGGTGGTCGGTGGTAGTTGTTGCGAGGATCTGGCAACCTGGTCTGTCCTTTGCCACCGACTTCCGCATTGAGTGCACGTCCACCATTGGGAGATCGAGTTCGCTCGGCATCTCAGTTTGTCTGGAGGGTGTTGGCAATCTGCTGGTTCCAAGAAGAACGTCTTGTGGGCTTTGGATCGTGGTAGAGGTCGTCCGATTCCTTGGTGTATCGGTTCGGTGCTCGACTTCTTGGGACGTATCGCCGCTTTGGTAGATGGTTTCGTTGACGCCGTCGGGTGTTCCAGAGCGGTGGCCTCGAAGAATTCGTCCACCACCATCTGCTGACGAGCCGTCTCCAACATCACCAACAAACGGCAAACCACTCTCTTCCAGGCTGCTTCTACCTTGTGTGGGCCCATCTTCTTGCCGGGGAGCGACTGATTCATGTTCGCCTCCTCGGCCACCATCCGGTCCGCCCGTTGTCGCAAGGACGACATGTTCACGTGGAGGTCGGGAAGGACGGGATCTCGAATTCAATAACCACCTCACTGTTCTGGACAGCATTCGCTCGAACCATGAAGCTGTGGGAGAAACAACTGATTCTCGACTGACCGGTTCATCAACCGCATCGAAAACCCTGCTCTAGGTCGTACACTGCAGTGCTCTCATGCTGGCTTGGTTCAGCTTCCGGGTCCAGATCAACGTGCATGCAATTGAAACTGACATGTTGAGGTTGAGGTACTGGAAAACCACACCTCGCAAGCTGACGAAGATGCGATTCCGAAGCAGTCATAATCCCACGGGAAGTGTAAGCAGTCACACTTATCCTGCACCCTTTCCACGACTTAACTTCATGCCACTTCTTTGGGTTGAACATCAGCAATCGATGTCGTGTGTCATGTTCACTACCACGCAGCAAATGCCCTCGCGGTCCTGGTATCTTTTTAACAGAACGTCCTGCAAGTCCTTGGTCCGAGTCTTCTAGCCAGAGCTTGCCTCCGACGAAGTTGCCGAAGGAGATGGTCGCGCTCTGGCCCACGTTGTTGACGTCTCTGTGCAGCGGTGCTCGGGTGTTGTAGCCGATGCCCAAGGTGGTATACTTCAGCTCGGGGTAGTGGTGGATCAGCCATCGGTTGAGGTACGTGACGAGCTGTGGGTATCGGCCGGTGTTTTTGGAGTTCCCAACGAAGGCTCCGTGGGCGTACAGGCCAAAGATACCCGAGAAGGCGCCCTTGGTAGTCTGTGCCTCCAAACCTTGCATGATGCCACGTCGGTGACCCTTGTTCTTGATCGCCAGGGAGGCCAGAAAAGCGTCCATGGTCTCCGTGGCCCAGTCTTGGTTGTCCACGTGGAGCTTGGCCATGCGCTCCACCTCGATCTCATTCTTGAGGACCAGGAAAGACCGGCTCTCGAAATCCCCGGCTGCCACTGGTGCCTGCTTCAGAGGCTTTGACATTGTTGTAGCAGGCGCTCCTGTTGTGGCAGACGTTCTCGTCGCGGTGGTGGTGGAGGTCGTCTTCTGAGAGTCCTTGTGTGAGGACGAAGATGGCGCATCTTGATTTCGTTCACGGTCACCACCATCACCCGCCGAATCCGGGCTAGACGCTGGCTTCCCCCCAAAATTGTAGTTGTGAGAGTCGGGCTGCATCTCGTAGAAGAAGACTTGACCATGCCAATCGGTAAGCACCCGTTGGGAAGACCACAGGTCACGAATGTGTTGGACGTGACCGTCCGTTCCAACCGCCATGGTATAACGATGAGGTTGCAGGTTCCAACCTCGGAGTTCAGGAATTTGCGACGGTTGTAGTAGAGCACGTTGCCATCCTCGGTGACTGGACACATAGTGTAGGGCCTCCGACACGTCATAGATCCAGATATGCACCTGCGGGTTGGCAAACGAAAGTTGTCGCAGGGCTGAGGATGGATCCTCTGGGTAGCTTGCTGTGGTAGAGGCATACACCATCTGAAAGGGATTGTGGGAGTCTTGACGAAACTGTTTCGGTAGTTCCCAGGCTTTCTCACGGAAGTCCAGAATAGAAACTGTGCGATGTCCTGAAGGTTGTCGAACCAGAGCCGTCTTGTGTCCCTGAGGCGTGGACAGCGACTCATCCGCGAGGTCGATGTTCGCCTTAATTGCCTCGAGGAAGCTGATCGGCAATAGGGGGGGTGTACTGAACTCGCCATCCTTGAGGACGTGAAACCTGAGCAGTGCGTGGATGCCTGCGATGGCCACTGGCACGTCCTGGATGCTTGCTAAAGTGGCTTGTCCCCCTATGCCCGCACACGGTATCTCTGGTCCCTCCCGAGGAACCTCTTGAGGTCTGAGCCCAACTTTCTCCAGCTCCAGCCTCAGCAGGTCAAAGGCTTGTTGCCCAATCACCGCGTCCTCCGCCGCGGTGTCCACGATCGCCTCGAAGCCCTTGACTTTCACTCCAGCGAAGATGGCGATGGTCCTCCGAGCCACATTCTCCTCACCTCTTCGCTGAGTCTCAATCTTGTGCCAGGCTTCCGATCCTGACTGCATGAACACCTGGCCTCCGCCTCCAGAGCCCCTAGAGACCACAAAGGAAACCTTGCGATCTTTGCCTTGACCTTTTCCACCGCTGCCACCTTTCAGGGGGCAGTCCCTGGCGTAGTGGCCAAGCTCGTGGCAGTTGAAGCACTTGGTTCGGCTCTGGAGCTCATCCGGAGTGCCCGTGGTCATCCGAGGCCCTCCCTTCTTGGAAGGGGAGCCACCTTTGAAGCTCCTCGATCTGGACGGGAATCCCCTCTTGCCGGATCCCTTTGGGCCTCTGTACGGGGATCTCGGTCTCGTCGGCGACGTCTTGTTGTGCTTGATGAAACCTCGTTCACGTCGACGGTCTCGAAGATCCTTCCGGACATCTGCGTAGGCCGAGGCATAGGCTGAGTGGTACGCCTGGATGTAGAGCGACTCATCCTCATCGTACTCACGATCCTCGAAGTAGAGCTCGGAGATCTCTTCCTCTTCTTCTTCCTCATAGTCATCGTAATCCGCGCCGTCATCTTCCTTGACTTCCTGGTTCTCAGCGAGAGGTCACCCTGGAGGTACTCTGACTCGAAGTTTCCCCTGTCTTCGGAAAGCATAACTGGGTAGTGTTTGGCACCCGCGGTGCCTAGTTCTGCCCCAGCCGCTTGTGCCAGCAACTCGGGTCGATCCAGTTGCCGCAGCATCGTAGCGACCTCGTCGAAGGTCATGAGGGCGCTGTTGTCCTTAAGACTGACTAGTTCTCGTTGAAGTTCACTCATGTGTGCTTGCCGAAGAAGAACTCTACCAGCCACTTCGTCACTGAGTTTTTCACCGAGGTGGTTCTCAAGGTCCTGACGGGCTACTTCTTTGGCTGCAATGAAGGCCGCGAAGCTGTCCCCTTTATGGCGGTCACCACTGTAGAAATAACGGTCCACACTTGCCGGCCCAGCCACTTCCAAAAAGGGGCGATACTTCATCATGAGAGCCGTCAAAACCTTGTCGTAGCCCGCCGCCGAGAGCAACTCATTCATCGGAATCTGGTCGGAGATCTTCCTCGGCTGGCTTCCCTCTGGAAAGGACTGATAAAGCCTCAAACCCCACTTTTCCTTCGGCACGGTCGTCTCAGCCTCCCAACACGCTAGGAGCTTCAGCCAGCTCCGAAGGGTGTTGGGCTGGCCACTCCAGCTGGGAATCGCCTTCTTCTCTCCAGTCAACGCCGCGATAAACCTCTCGCCTTGATCTGGTCCAGGAAGAGATGGGAAGAGTCGCCTTAGGCGGAGATATTCCCAGCATGTCAAACGCCGAAGTAACCTTGGTGGGTCTTGAGGTTGAAGGTCTTGAAGGGTTAAGGTTCTCTGCCATTGAGGCTGCCAAGGTTGGTGGCAGTGGTGTGCTTGCATTGGGCTCGGTTGAAGGTCCAGTAGGCGCCGATGGTGTCGTAGTACTCGCGAAGGCCGTGGGAGGTGCTGTCGGGAACGTTGTTGAGGTAGTCCACCATGGAGGTTGTGGGTAGGCCGAATTAACTGCTCCACTTGGTGGTCCCAGGGTAGGTGCCGTAGCCAAAAAGGGTGGTCTTAGGCCACCATGTAGCAAACCCACTGGAGGAACATGCTGACTCGTCCAGGGGGTCCCAGTCGCTCTTTCACTTGATGAAAAAGCTCCAAGTTGTGCCTGGCCACCAAGGCTGGCCGGTTCCGGCAGCACAACTCCAGGCCCATAGCCGGGAGACCACGTTCCATACGAACTGGTAGTAGCTCTTGCTCCAGGAGGACGGACTGGCGAATCTCCTTCAGGTAAGCGGTCTGAGGCATCCGCTCCTTCACGCTGGGTGCGTGCTTGTCGTCGGGACAGATAGTCCGCCCACGGGTCCATGGCCGTCACAGGCTCCGGTGCCAACTGAAAGCAAACAGGTTGCTAAGGGCACGCATTTTACATGCGCAGCATGAGGACTCAAGCGCTGCGGGCAGCCAGTTGCGTTCACAGCTCACGGCAGAATCATGACTGTACTCATGAAAGCAGAAGGGACGTTTCAGTGCTCTACCATGCCGCTTCAGACAAGACTACCGACTGACGCATGGGAAAAATCGAAGCAAGACACAGGAGACGAGTAAATTGGACTCCGGTTTGCTGCACTCCTGCCGGCACTCTGGCAACAATCGAAGTGGGAGCAGACTTTGTGCAAGGCTGCACGGAAACTTTTGTGCGCTGAGTGTGTCGTATAGGAGCCACGGAAACTAGAGACCAGTAGGAGAAACTCGGAGCAACTGAGATTGGAAGATGCGGCGAGTGCCTCCTCGAGAATCCTTGCAGGCAACGCCGGTACCGAGTGCCCTTCGACGGCCTGGCAGAGAGAACCCTTGCATTTTAGCAGAGACCCAAGAACTCAAAGAGTTATTCGGGGTCTTTTGACAATGTGACGCAGCAAGCTGTTTGACATCCACATGGGCAGGATCGAAAAGGCATAGGTGCCAAATTAGCAACCTTGCACAGTCCAGTTCAGATTCCACACCATCCTGACGCGCACTTGGCTTGGAACTGGAAAATTGGTTCGCAAGGTGGGCGCTGCTCATGCGGCCTTCCGCCAGCATGACATTTGCAGGTCTTCTTGCTGGGTGCTATAGCCCGGATGCAGGCACAATGGCTCTTTGTTTACATAGCTCCCTTGCACCTGAAATCAAGGAGTGCCTTGGCCGTTCCATTGTGGCACTAAGTTCTTCCATTGTAGTCTGCTGGGATCGCGAGCCTTTGTACAAGGACCAAGGCACTTGACGACAGGAAACTGTCAGAGCAATGCCAGACCTATCGCACAATTACACGAGCATGATGGCAAACCCACGGCCGCATGACAAGACATGGCAAGAAACATTACACAACTATATCTGTGCTCCACGAAGTCGCTGCAATGGTAGCCTTAGTCAGACACCGGAACCATGCCGGAAACAAGACTGAGAAATGTCAGTGGGAGCACAAGGAAAAGACAGGGGTGACAACGTCAACCGAAAAATGATGACGGCTGAAAGACAAGAGGTGATGCCAAGCAATGACAAGAACACTGCTGAAAATATGAAAGAACCCTGAGCGTGTTGCACAACCTCAAACGAAATCGTGGCGTGTCAGACCATTTGATGCACGCCCCAACGTCGGTGACACTGATTCTGGATCATGTGCTACACTACGCAGCAGAATGTGTCACCTCCTCGTCGCCAACAGCTTTAATGACCCGAAGCCCTGAACGGTTCTACCTTTGCTTCCGGCAATGCCGGTAGGCCTTGGCCTCTTCGGCCTCTGCCTGAAAAGCACGCAAAGAAGACTGACGCAGGCACTGTAGTCTGCGCATTTCTGCACGTAATGGAGGAGTCCGCCCGGCTGCTCTTTGAGATATTATATCTCCTTCCATGCACTGCCATGTGGGGTCCTGCCTCGAGGACGTCCTGCGCCGTCTGGGACAGGAGCTCTACCCAGCGAGGGGCATCGGACACGTCCTGGTCACTCGGAGCTGCTGTCCATCCAAGCTTTTCTGCACGAGCTTATAAATCGCGAAGCTCCACCGCAAGGACAGGCCGAGAGTCGTACATCATGTTTGCACAGAGCGAAACACAACCACCAAGGAGGGCGTGCACTGATGTAGGCTGGCAAGATCCCACCCATGCCACTCGTCAACGTGGACATGACTGTAACCTTGACCGCGCATCTGCACATGCCGAGTTACTTCAACGCTGGCAACCTGAATGGTCGAGCAGTGTTCGAGCCGTTGTTCGCAGAAGTGCCTGTAATCCCGATGAAGCCCACTGAGAGCACATATCATCTGCCAATGATCCCGATGGATGATACTTGGTAACCGACAGAGACCACAAAGACGAAATAAAACTCATGGTTCAAATTGCGGCAACCGTGCATACATGGGAAACACGTGAAAACAAAGTTTGATAACAAGGAGAGGCCCGGGCCCGGACTTTCGTGGTGGATTGGGTCCTGTCCACCTGTGTGCTGCAGGTACCAGAAACTGCGTTCAGACTTATCACCATGCTCCGGTGTGTATACACAGACACCAGACACAAATTCAGGGTCTCGCAAACTATTTGCTCGGAGCTTTGATGTCGATCTCCCTGGTTCCCCGCGTGCACCCGTAGTAGTACCAGCACACCAAACTTCCAGCCCCAACCCAGGAGCGATTGAGGTGTCTGTCTTTTTGTCTTGATGTCTCAAATTCCTCAGGGGTTCAATTCTTGTCCATAGAGGCGCAAGTAATGCAACCAGGCTTGTTCATTCCTTGACAGTTACCAACAGATGAGCGATCCTCCTTTCGCCTTCTTCTGCGACAGAGTTTTGTCCAGTTTCGTGGCCTCCCAAACATCAGCTCACTTACTGAAACGGATTTTTACAGCAGCAGCTTCCGGAAATAGGAGGTCCTGGCATGTGAAGTGCCATGTCTCGGGCTCAGCCGGATCTCCGTCTCCCTCGCGCCGTCTGAGTTCGAAGCTCCTGGAAGGGCGCAAACCAGTGCCACCAGCCAAATGCTTCGACGAAGTGCGGCACAAGGTGTTTGTTTGTGGGGTAGGTGCCATGCTGCAACTCAGCCAGTGTCCCGAAGCCGACACGGCACGTCGCGAAGTCCGAAAGCTTCCACGAGAAGACCTCGGCATCAGTCTTCCGGTGCCGGAGCAGAAACATCGATCTTCTGTCTCTGCTCCGAGCCGGTGGAGATGCCTCGAGGGCGTCGCGCGGCCTGCGGCGGGAGTTGGAAGCGACCCCAAAGCAAAAAAGCAAACTGCAGCGCGGCGCCTGCTGAAGGCTGACAGCTCCCCGTGAGCCGCCTGCCACACTTCGCCACAACTCCAAGGTGAGCAGCTTGAGTTTCGTTTAGCTCGGCTACCGCCGGAAGACAAAGGCGTGGCACACGTAGTATGCGGTCACCCATTCTCTCAGATCAAACACGTGGCGGAGCAGCTGCACAGAAGAGCGTCTGCTTTGACGGACTTCGCCCACCTTGACCTTCGCTTCGCAATCTGTTGGTACAGCCCCTGTAACCCTGTAAGACTTGATCAGTTATCGCACCTGTTCCAAGGCTCGCTCTGCAACAAACTATGGCACTCCACGCAGATCGGAACAGGCAGAGGTTGAAGTGTGCTCTTTTCATGCTGGCGCACTCGTGCAGAAGGTGGGCGGTTTCATGACCTGATTTCATCGTGGTGGCCCCAACCTTTTCATAATTTACGGCATTGCCTTTGCAAGTTTTCTGTGTCCGCGCCCGCGCGCGCGTGTGTGTGTGTGTGTGCAGTTTAAGTATCAGACTCCAGACTAGATATCAACATGCCGACTGGCATATCGAGCTGCTAGCTTGATGCTGCTGTATTGAAGGGGCAGCATGCAGGATTGCAAACAGTAGAGAAGGTCTTGTTGCTCGTGCGCTGCAGAACCGGCTCCTTAAATGTTCTCAGCGTGTCTCAAGCTTAAAGCAAGCATAGGTCGGGAACCGCGAGGCATCTTCTGTCCCCCCCTTCACATGTTCGATTGGTCGCATAATCTGTGACAACCATGCTGATGCTTGTTAGACTGGCACTAACGAGCGCACATCAAAGCTAGGCTAGTTGGACACTCTCGCTGCAAGAGATCGGACGTGACCACAGCACTGGTCCGTTCTTTGGGAGGAGAAGCCCCTACTGTCTGCCATCCACTGGTCCAAATTTGTTTTGCTCAGGCATCCCATGCAGCGAAATTTGAGCAGTCCCATGTCGCTTGTGCGACTGCGCCACAAGGAGCCCAGATAAAATGTGCAATCCAAACGACTGTGGCACAAACACAGCTCGACAGGTTGTAGGCCCGACAACACTTATCTGCACCTAGTCAGGGAAGCGTGCGCTGATGCTTCATCAGTCATGTAGCTATCCAGACAAGCTATCATCGGGATGTTGGGTCATCGCACTCATCTTGCAATGAAATGCCCTAGCCTCCCGTGACTCTTGGGGTCCAACCTTTGCTGGTCGGGGTGATGCATGAGGTTCCCCGATGCTACCTGCTCGTCTTGAACTCTACGCCGAGCTTCAAGCCTCTTCGAGGTTTACGAAAAGAAACAAAACCTGATTAGGAGCGACGAACGCGAATGCAGTTGCGTGTCGGTTGGACCTTCGACGGCTTCAGAGTGTTTCTGATTGCTCGGCATGTGCGAAGCCCTCCACACGAGCTGTGATTTAGGGCGACCATTCAGAACGGACGAAACCGGAATCACCATCCAAATCTGGACAGCCGAAACAGGATCTCAGATGCGACTCATCAGGACACGAGCCCAGGGTCGTCTTTCAGAGTCTCAATATTCTCTAAATACAGACATGAGTTTGCGACGCGACACGGGCCTGGATTGCCTACAACACGGCAGCTCAGAGAATTCAGAGCCACTTGGGAACGCTCGCATCCTCTACAGCCGAGGCAACGAGGTCTGATCACCTGCACCTTTGCAAGAGAAGCCTTCCGCTGCTTCGGGAAAATTGAACACGAAGAGCTTGCAGGCATGTGCCACTCTGAAGGATGCTTACGAGTACGATTCGCCGTAAGACCGTAAGATTTTCCCACCAGCGGATATAAATCTCCAGCTTGGCGAAGAGGAAACAGCTATGGCAGCTCAGGCGGATCACGGTACATGGGCGGTCGTCGCTGCATTATAGACCAAATCCTGCAGATAGATGAGGCATCTTTTGCCACGACTTTCCGGATGTCGGTGTGGCAGTGGTATCGGTAGGAGCATCAGCGGTTATTGCTGTTGCCGGTGTTGCTGGATTGCTTCATGGTTTCTGCTGGTGCTGCTACTGCTGCCGCAGCCGCCGCTGCTGGTGTTGCTTTTGTTGTTGTTGTTGTTGTTGCTGTTGCTGCTGCTGTTGTTGTTGCTGCTGTGGTTGCTGATGGTTGGTTGCTGATTGGTGGTACTCACCGTTGGCGGTTCGGTATTGGAGGTTGGTTTGTGGTTGACGGTTGGAGGTTGGTGGCTGATAGAAGCAAACACCGCTGCTGGTGGCAGTAGTAGCAGTAGTAGTAGTAGTAGTAGCAGCAGCAGTCGTCGTCGTCGTCGCAATAGTAGCAGTCGTGGTCGTCGTAGTAGTAGTAGTAGTAGTAGAAGTAGTAGTAGTAGTAGTAGTAGCAGCAGCAGCAGCAGAATAGCACGAGTAGTCTTAGTAGTACTCGTAATACAGGTAGTAGGAGTGGTACCAGGAATACAAATAATACTGGAAATACCTAGTACTAGTAGTGCTAGTAGTGCTAGTTGTAAAAGTACTACAAGCAGTACTAGTACCAGTAGTAGTAGTAGCAGCAGCAGCAGCAGCAGTAGTAGTAGTAGTAGTACTAGTACTAGTAGTGGCAGAAACGGTGGTAGTAGTGGTGATGGTAGAGTAGCAGTAGTAGTAGTAGGCGCCCCCCCCCCTTACCAACTACCTCTGCTGCCAACCCT